CTACTTACATAGCATGTACATATAGTATGGCCAACAACACCATATAATCTCAATTTTCTTAAAAACTACATATGATGGAATCAGGTATTGTTGTCCTGAGTGTTTGGTTCTTTGTCATAATATTTGGTCCAATTTATTGAAGCTGAGTGAATCTGTCCAATCCAAAGTCTTGTTAATTGGAAATGGAATCAAGTCTTGTTGTCCTAAGAGTCTTCATTATCAAAATATCATAATGGTGTTGTAATCCCATGTTGCATTCTCATACCATACCATACCATACCATGGTATTGCACCCTCATGCCATACCATGCACCCTCATACCATACCATGCACCCTCATACCATACCATGCACCCTCTCATACCATACCATGGTATTGCACCCCCATACCATACCATGCACCCTCATACCATACCATGCACCCTCATACCATACCATGCACCCTCATACCATACCATGCACCATACCACACCATACCACACCATACCATGCACCCTCATACCATACCATGGTATCAGGAACCATAATCTATTTTTATTCAAGCAGAGGAAGTCAGAAAACCCTCATTTCGAAGTTTGTTTACATATATTTACCAATAGCTTTGACCAAAGTGATGCTAAAATTTTGTAGTGTCCGCTTTGATGATTTCCTAATTGGGCCATTTCCTAATTGGGAAAAGCGTTACACTTTTTTCTGCCACACCTAATGTCAGGCACAGTGTGCAGTTGGGTTGGGAACTGTTTCCCACGCTCTTTGGACCACTGGAGTTAGTGGCTAGCTAAGTGTTGTCACTGTTAATGACGATGTCCGCACTATTTCCTAATTGGGCCATTTCCTAATTGGGAAAAGCGTTACACTTTTTTCTGCCATATCTAATGTCAGGCACACTGCGCATTTAGGTCAGGAACTATTTCCCACGCTCTTTGGGCCACTGGAGTTACTATGTTTGTTCAGGTGTTTGAAACTTTTTCACCGCTGTGCGATTTCTGCCTCACCACTTCATTGAATTCTTTAAATTTTTAACAAGCCAATAATCTTTTTTTTCTTCTATATGAATATCTACTTTTTTTTGGTATAAATGTGTTGTGTTCGCTGTCGGAGGCGTTCCGGTGCTCAGGGTTCAGATATATCAGGAGATTGAAACTCGTGTCACACTAGGTAACAAGGAATTTGGCTGATGGATGATGTGCGAATGTCACGCAAATGTCACGTTTTTCGAGCTGTTTTGCGAGCAAAATTTGGTATTTTGCCCTTCCTCCCGAGAGCACTTCATCTCCCCCTCTAGAAATTTGTAGGTAGACTTTCAAATACAATTTAAATGTACTTGGAAAGTTTCAGAATAAACAGTCTAGCCGATCCAAAGGGATCTGAGAAAACATTCCAATACTTTTGTTTGGTTGGTGTAATGAAAAGCACAAAGTCATGCCTCCAGAGCACAAATCTTCGAATCTCCCTCTGAAATTTTGGAATAGTAAATCTCATGCATAAATACATCTTCCCTGAAATTTACAAGATCCTAAGGTAAGCGGAAGGCAAGATAATGTGCAGTTTCAAACTCCTGATGGGTTCA